GGGAAAGGAGTGACTTCTTGAAAAATTGTGTTTATGTAATTGATTTTCCACTTAGAAAATAATAAATTTGGATCACTACCTCAAACCATAAACAAATATATTTGAGTTGGATTAAAGACAACTTTTTAAAGTAATATTTAAAAACTTAGATGAATATATTCAACATTTTTAGAACTCAGCATGAAAAAATTACTTAGATAAAACACAAAGGCACTGTCATAAAAGACATGATAAATTTAAATATATGAAAATTTAAAATGTATATGTACATTAATTACTATAAAAGTGAAAAAATAAGCCCCAAGATGTTTTAATGTATAGAAGGGATAATATATAAAAATGTAGAAATTCCTAAAACTCGTGAAAAGATTGCCCAATGGAAATAAGCATACACTGAAAAAACAAAAGTATTTCTTACAAGAGATAATCTGAAAGGCCAACAAACTTATAGAAAAAATACTCTTCACTAATAATCAAGGAAACACAAGTTAAAAACAAGGGTACCACATTACACCCATCAGAGTAGCAAAAATGTGAGTTTGAAAAGCAACAAGTGCTGTCGACGACAATGAAGCAGTGGGAACTTGTTGGTGGGAAGCACACTGGCACAGCTATCAAATTTGTAGTATCTAGTAAAATAAAGATCTCTTACCATATTACCTTAAACAAGTACTTATGTATATGCATAAGGAGACATATACAAAACTGTTCTTGGCAGTCTTGTGTATAACAGCAGAAAGGAGACCTAACCAGCACCGACATTGGTGGTACATTCATATGATACAATTCTGTACAATGGTTAAAATGAATGAATGAGTTATGAGTGCCAACATAGATACATCTCAAAAATAAAAAAGCAAGTTGCTGAACAATACATGTTTTATGATAACAGTTATATAAAGTATAAAATATGTGAAATGATACTATATATTATGGCTGTACGTATAGAAAAAATAAAATACACAGGTTTGCTGGTGGGAACCAAGAAATGAGGATTGGATTAGGGAGATTTATAGGACGCATCAACTGTGTTTGTAGTATTTTATTTTATAAACTGCTATTTGAAAACAAATATTTGCTTTACTCCAGATTTTAGCTTATTTAAAATAGTTCATAATTGAGTTATTTTTAAAAGATTACAAGGGACTTAGGGAGATATATACGTAAACTATTAATACTCATACATTCTGAAAAAGTTGCCTTATTCACGCTGTTTCAAGAGAAAAACACGTGCTACCCTTTCTAACAGGAAGAAAATTTGAGACAAGTGGTTTTCACCAGCCATATCCTCAAGTAACAGCAAAAGTAAGATACAGGAATGATCTAAAACCAACTTTTAATTGTCATATTTAATTTTTGATGTCCAGGCAGTTTACTCTTCCTCCTTCCCTCCATCAGTTTATTTTAATAATATTTTTAAATTATCCAGATTCTTTATAAATTATAGGGTATAAAATGAAATACCCTCTTTTCTGTCTCCAGCATCTCACTCCCCTCTCCAGAGGTAACTTATCAATGTTAATATTTATATTTATATTCAATACATATTTGTAGATTTGTTTGGGCTTTTGTGGGGTTTTTTTTGTAGAGCTTTGTTGTTACCGTTGTTTTTAGCATTAAAGTCACACTAATACTATTTAGCAAGTTGCCTTTCACACCAGCATGTTCTAGAAAAGGCTTTTTTTTTTTTTTTTGCACACACAGATCTACTCTATCATATTTCAGTTTCCCGTTCTACTACTGTTTCTTGTTGTATACAGTTCAGGCTAGAGTCAAGACACCTGGGTTCAAATCACAGATCTGCTATTTACAGATCATTGGATCTTGGGCAAATTACTTATTTTCTCTGTGCCTCATTTCACCTTTGAAAAATCGAATTAACAATACATCTACCTTATGGGAGTGGTTGTAAGGAGTAAATGAATTTTAAGAGTTTGGTAAACAATTCATTTTTAAAAGCTATTTTTAATACTATTAGTGAAGAAGTATTATTTATCTAATATACTCTCCATCATTCTGAAGAGTGACCCTCCCCCTCATTTTAAGGCCAGATTTGGCCTCGGCCACCAGGAATGACAACAGAATCCATACTCTGCCACTGGATCTGAGCCCTTGAATGAGACTGGTCTTTTTCCTGAGACCTAAAGTTGCTTGTAAAGTCGACCTTTGAACAGCGCAGGGTCAGGGATACTGCTCCCCAACACAGTCAAAAATCTGCCTGTATCTTTTGACTCTCCCAAAACTTAACTACTGTTGACCAGAAGCCTTACTGATTACATAAATAGTCGATTAACACACGGTTTGCGTGTTATATGTGTTATATACTATAGTCTTTAAAAAGTAAGAGAAAATGTTATGAAAACCACGAGGAAGAGAAAATACATTTGTAGCGCTGTTTGTATGTATTGAAAAAAAGTCGGTATAGGCGGACTCATGCAGTTCAAGCTCACGGGTCAACTACATTCAAAACTGTATTCGAAACTGAAAGTCTCAATTGATAACAATTTTTTGTCTAATGCCAGTTCATTTTCTATCCACTACCAGTAGAGACATATACAAAAAAGGCTAAGAATCAAACTCATCGTTTTTACACTTTATTGCCTTTGATAAATGACTTAAAAGGTGACTTGCAATGAGAGGTCACAATGAAGATTCCATGGACAGCGAGTTTTTTTTTTCCCTCTGGGATTATTTTTGATGTACAGATAGCTCATATTTATTGAGTGCTTTAGAGTTGATACAGAATTTTTGTTATTTGATCCACATATAGAACAAAAAAGTACACAAAGAGATTTCTTCTTTACAAAGGTCACACGACAAGATAACTGGCAGAAGCCCAAATGTGATTTCCAGTCTGCTCTTTCCAATGGCCAAACTTTGCAAATGATGGAGAAAATGATGCTCCATGACAAGGGACACCAAAATAGTAATCTACTTATTCTGGATCTTCAGTTGGTCTTCCTTTTCTTTTAAATGTTACAACTTTCCTTCAAGTTTTCACCCTTAACACCTCAGACGCTTCATATGGATAGATATATTTTGTTTATGGCAAGAAAAAATGCCACCATGTGCTTCCTCAAAAGAACTTTTCTGACAGGTATTTCGAGAGGAATTGTGAAACATTCTGGTAATTTGTGTAGAACTGTTGGCATTTCTGCTTCACAAACTGGAGAAATTCATTTGGAAGTCTTGCAAATTACTCATCTCGGAAAAGAAAAAGTGCTACAATTCCAAACAAATTTAGTTTTCAAAACAAGCAACTTCTTTAGTTCCCAATTTATTCTTTTATTCCTGCACACTCCTTGTGCTAGATTATAGTGATGGCCCCAATTCTTACCTTCACCTGCATTCATACCTCTGGCCATGACACTTTGCTCGTCTTTCACTAAAGAGAGCCCATTTCTCCACCCGCAGAAGCAGGTTTCGTGACTAATAGAATGAGGTAAAAATGATTCTGTGCCAGTTCTTAGACTAGGCCTCAAATGTTTGCATGTTTGCTCGCTCTCCCTGTACCTGAAATGTTGCTGTGAGAAAAACATCTCTGGGCTAGCTGAATGAATAGTCTTTAGAAGATTAGAGATGCATAGAGCAGAGCTCCCAACTGAGGCCAGCCTAGAGCATTCGACAGACCCTCAGACTTGAGCAAGTCCAGCCATGAAAAGCAGGCCCACATAACCACCCCTAGCTGACACCAATGTGTAACCAATAAATGCTGCCCTCTAGCTATGCCGCCGAGGTTTCATGGTTGATTGTTATACAGCGTTAGTTTGGCAATAGACACGATATAACTCTTATTCACATGTGACTCCGCCCTAATAACAAATTCATTCAATCTGGATTTACATACCCTATTTCTCCCAGAGTCCCACAGACTATTTGTTAAATCCAACACAAGTACACCACAGACACTCTGTCTAGCTTCTAACCAGCTCAAAACAATTCTAACTTAATTCCTTAATATTTGTGGTGTAGGAATAGTTTCTCTCACTTTCTTTATCTTCTCTCATATTGTTTCCAGACCTGAGAGCATGAGAGCTCAGATATCAAAGAGGTCTACGGCCCCCTTAGAAGCTCTTTGGATTTGTCTATTTTATAGGATTGCCAGATAAAATGCAGGATGCCCACTTAAATTTGAATTTCAGATAAACAATACATTACTTTTTAGTATAAGTATGTCTCATGCAATATTTGAGCATATTTATACTAAAAAATTAATCATTTATATGAAATTCAAATTTAACTGAACATTTTTTTGTGTGGTTCCCTCCCCCACCCCACCCTAAATCTGGCAGCTCTACTATTTCACTGAAAATCTGGAAGGAGTAAATGGAAGCAAGAAGAAGCATTCGCCATGTGCAGAAAAAAAGAGAGCAAACCCAGACCCAGCTAAGAAACCGAGAAGTGGCATTACAGAAAAGAGAGCTTGAGCTTTGGTCTCTGATAGTCCATCATCAGAAAAAACCTCATGTAATGAATGGGGAAAGGTCCATTGAAGAATTCACAGTGAAGAACCATTTGGATGACTTCTG